TAAAATCGAGGAAATTTGACATAGTTCAATTTCATTCATTTACGGCAGATATTTCAACAGAATCGTCGCAGCATTTGGATATAGAAAAATCCATCTGAACAGAACATTTGAACGAGGAAGAGAGAGAAGACATGCACTACGGCTATGCAAAAAATATTCCGATATTTTTCATGTGCCAGACACCACTAACGTTCACAAATCAAGTAAAACACCAGATCAGGACAAGAGACGAAATTCCTGTTTTTACTAAATCATACAGATATCCACATGTCCACAAGCCAGAAGTGGAAAAGCAGGTAAATTCAATGTTGAATCAGGAAATCATCAGGCTGAGCCAATTACCCTTGTCTTCACCTATATGGGTCGTCCCAAAGAAAGCAGACGCTTCTGGACAAATCAAATGGAGAATCGTCGTAGATTATTGAAAGGTGGATGAAAAAACTATCGACGATAAATATCCAGTCCTCAACATCAATGACATATTAGATAAGCTAGGAAGGTGTCAATACTTCACTACTTTGGATCTAGCGAGTGGCTTCCACCAGATTGAGATCTAGCCGTTTGGCTAGAAATCAGCTCCAGCCACATTTCAACGAGTTATAGATAACGTTTTGAAGGGTCTTCAAGGAAAAATATGTCTTACATATATGGACGACATAATTGTGTACTCAACTTCATTGCAGGAGCATATGATCAACCTCTCCAAAGTCTTCGAAAGGTTCAGGGAAACAAATCTCAAGGTTCAACTAGACAAATCAGAGTTTTTGCAAAGGGAAGTAGCATTTTTGGGACACATCATCACTTCAGAAGGAATTCGACCAAATCCCCAAAAAATTGAGGCAATCTTAAAGTATCCTATACCCCGAACAACCAAAGAAATCAAAGGATTCCTAGGACTCCTGGGATACTATAGAAAATTCATCAAGGACTTCGCAAAAATAACCAAACCACTCACCTCCTGTCTTAAAAAAACCAGAAAATTGATCATACATCGAAATTCATAAAATGTTTCGAAACATGCAAAGATCTTCTAGTAAACGAACCACTTTTACAATATCCCGATTTCACAAAACCATTCAATCTCATGCCAGCATTTTTGCTATAGGTGCTATCCTATCGCTAGGACCTGTTGGAAAGGATAAACCAATTGCATTGAATTTCTGACGATATTGCACAGGAAGGAAAATATCTAAGAGATATGTTCCATCTAATTACAACTGATCGAAAAGTTGACCCTAGTAATATGGCTGTATACAAATCTAGGCTGAAACAACACAAGAATAACGTTAAGCAAAAAAAGATTACTATTCAACTAAAATTGACAATGCCAGTAACAAAACTAAAGAAACGTGGAATATAGTAAACAACGAGTTGGGAAGATAAAGAAAGTGTTATGCTGATAATGTTATCACTCTCCATCATGAATCAGCTGTGGTTAAACACCCTTCTGCTGTAGCAGACCTATTTGCCCATCATTTTGCAAATTCTGCTAAAACGGCTATTTCCACACACTTTTAGATATATGTTCCAGGTTCAGGTGAAAACACCTCACCCCTTGCCTCTCATGTAGACCTACGATTTTATAGGTACGTGTGGCAGATACCCGACGGAAAAACAACAACTAACCCAGCTAATGCCGCTCAGAAAGTTGAAGTAAAACCCTCAGGCATCTGTGCAACGTCTTCGATTTGGAAGATTTGTCGCAAGTTATTTCCCACTATGAAAAGCAGAAATCAATATCATTTGGTCGATACAACCAACCGATAGACCGGTTTTGGGGTACTTGTCCATCATCAGTACCGGAAATGGTCTCTTTAGAACGGAGTGAACCGCCTTTGTTTGGTCGTGATACTCAGACGGTTCACTCCGTTCAGAAGAGATCATACATTTCTGATGATAGGGCAAGTATCCCGAAACCGGTCTATCGGTTGGTCGTATCGACCAAATGAAATTAATTACTGCTTTTCATAGTGGGAATGGGGCAAGTATCCCGAAACCGGTCTATCGGTTGGTCGTATCGACAAAATAAAATTAATTACTGCTTTTCATAGTGGGAAATAACTTGCGACGAATCTTCCAAATCGAAGACGTTGCACAGATGCCTGATGATTTTATTTCAGCTTTTTGGGCGGCATTAGCTGGGTTAGTTGTTGTTTTTCTGACGGGTATCTGCCACATGTACCACATTAATTTATTTAGTTTTCTTTTTTCTTTTTCAATGGTATTAGTAGTATTAACGTAATTGTGAAATTGATGCAGTGATAGTTTTTTTAATTTCTTTTATATGAGTAGCTTATAATATTTACGATTTTCATTTTATATTCTTCTAGTCGATTTATCAATGTATGAAATTTTATGGCCTATAACCATGATATATATCTTTTTCAAATTTTATACACTTACTTGTAATTTATGGAACAAATAAATAAATAACGTTAAATTTGGAAATATTGATTATTTTCAGCACATATTTTCAATTGAAATCCTATTTATATTCCTTTGAAGTCACACATCAAAACACCATCATTTCTATTCAATGTAGAAATTCTTATTGCATTACTTCGTCGACTTCATTACAATATGTATTAAAAATAGTCATTTTAGTAGAAGACAGTAACTACCAAACAATAAAAAAAGTAATGACGTTTCTGCCGCAGTTTCAAAAAATATGGCCAAAAGTGAGGAAACCTGCCAACTAATCAATTTAAATGAATAATTAAAATTTTGCTGGGTACTATTCCATAAAAAAAAACAAATTATCAAAAGTTTGTTTTGTTTTTACAACTATAAAGATTGGTTCGTCATTCATTATAACCTAACCTTCCAACTTTTTCTGGTTTTCAGTAGTACAACCTTTATCAAAATTGTCATTTGATAAATATCAAGAATTCTTCTTGTTTCCACAAAGAGCTTCTTTTGGAATTTTATCTGCTTTATACAACTCAGTAAAAAAAATTAGAGCCTTCTTCAAGTCATAATGGCATTCTTCCAGACACCTGAAAAAAAATTAATTTATTGTATTTTCGGTTATTACAATACATGGAATTCAAAAGAGGGATGAATGAACTAAAAATGACTTAGTTTCAACATTTTTTTCTCCAATTGTGAGGTTGAAGGAATCAATACATTTTTTACCAATTTCAACCAATTATGTACCCAGGATCCAGGAAATGAGCCTTTTTCCTGAGCATAGTACATCAAACGTGTCACGAGAGGCAGCACTAGTAGTAGGAACAAACAATAAACTATTCACATGTAAAACAGTGTTATTTACGTAATATTAATTTATTATTTAAAAATACAAATCTGATATAAAAAATTATTTTATGCTAGTATAATGCCAACAAAGAATTGCTGTTTTGCGAATTGTACGTCGGATAATCGATATACGGAAGAAAACGTAATTTTTATACAATTTATAAAACCTCATAATAATGAGGTTAGATGTAAGAAATAGATACATGCTTCGAGGAGAGTGGATTTAACAGTGCAAAAAATAAATAATTATTCATATGTATGCTCTAAACATGAAACGAATAGTACGTTTTTCATAGTTAATTACCATTGATTCGAATAAGATATAACCTCAATCGTTTATTAAATTATATTCATTTATTATATTTAATTAAATTTATTTCATTACCATCTATATTTGATTCATATTTCACTCGGAAATAAATCTGAAATTCATAATTATTTTAAATTTCTTTTATTACAGTTTGAATCTACTGCTATTCTTTTACTAGAGTCTGTATACTAACCTGTCTATTGATTCACTTTTTTCCAGTTACTTTTAAATTACGGCATGCAAGCCAACGTTTTAATGTTACAACATTGTTATCCTTTACAGTTGCAAATTTTTGTTTTGCTCCAGGAACATCTTCTTCTGTTAAAAACATTCTTTTTGAATTGTACTTTATCATATGTTTCTATGAGGATTAGGCAGTGTTTGTCCCTACCGAACTACTAGCGCTGCTAGTGAGTGATTTTTCGTACTTCAAGAAAAAGGTTCATTCATAAAACATTGTAATTTTCCATAGTATGAGGTATTTCTCAGATGAAAATTATATTGTTGCTATTTGAAAAATGATTGGTAATGAATGTTCCTTATATATTTCATATACACTATTTGACTAACATTGACTTATATTATGAGTGCCAGCTCACGAAGTACAACTGGTTTCTCTTTCACAAATTTATATCAACTCCAAACAATCATCAATAGTTACCTGTATTTGATTTTTTCATTCAAATGTTAGTGTCAAATTGGATGATCATATATGATGTAATGTTTTTGTATTTCTTACATTTTATCACCAACTGGAATTACCCGTTCATAAACACATAAATTAGTAAAATAAATAAAACATGGATACTTATTAGGACCACTTTCATTCCGAAGTCAGGGAAAATCAAACAAGATTTCGAACATTCCCACATAAGAGTGGGTAAAGAACAGTAATCCCGAGAATAAGCTTGTCACAAACACTGGGTATTCAGACAAATTAAAAACACGGGACCAAAAGTGGTATTGAGCAGTAGAAAATTACTTATGATGCACTGTTTGAAACCTTTGGCATAGTAATGAATATTACTGGAGTTTTTTCCCAACACCAAATCGTTATTTTTAACACCTCGACATGTGTTTCGATCACCAAGTGATCATCTTCAAGGGGAAGATTAAACTGGAACTTCCCTAAGCTAACGCTATTTAATATATAGGTATACCATACAGGTATACCAAACATACAGGTATACCACACTTAAATTAATTTTACAATTTGCCTTATCTATTATTTTACAATATGTCCTGATTTAATGTTTAAATGTCATTGCTATTTATAAAACAATTTTCAGCTATATAAAAAATTAATTTCACAAAATTGCTTATCTAAATTTATTTTTACAGTGTGTCCTTATGTAATAATCAGTAAATCTAATGTTATTTCAACAAGCTATATAGTATGTATGCTATTTGGTATTGGTCCGTCATCGTTTTTCATAATATTATTATGTTTACTTATTTCTACACTCTCATAGGCATCTAGTTGCCTATTGTTGTTAACTTGTCTAACTAATCTTAATGAACTGAAGTCTATGGAATGGTTTTGTTGCAAAATTTGATGGGCGACTGCTGATTTTTCAGGTCTTCTATATTTGAAGTGTGCTATGTGTTCCTTGTATCTTACTTTAATGAATCTTTTTGTCTGTCTAAAATATTTTGCATCGAAGTACTTACATTCAATTTCGTAAATTCCAGACTTTTCCAAATTCTCGACTTTGTCTTTTGGACTTCCCAAAAGGCTCTGTAGTGTATGACTTGTTTTAAAAACCGCCTTCATACCTAGTTCCTTGAAAATCTTTCCAAAGTTCTTCGTATATTGGTGATATGGAACTGAGATGTATTTATCTTGGTTTTTGTCCTTTCTGAAAGTCGAGATTTTGTTCATTCTTAACCTAAACTTCTTCTTCCTTATTATGTTACCTACAATACCGCTCGAGAAATCGTTAGTTTAATCTTCCTCTTGAAGAAGATCACTTGGTGATCGAAACACGTGTCGAGGTGTTAAAAATAACGATTTGGTGTCGGGAAAAAATCCATTAATATTCGGTAAAAAATTAAATTACAACTATTCATTGCTCTTTCAGCTACCAGGCGTAGGTATATTTAATCTTGCAATGTGCAGAAATATTGATTTGAGGTGTAAACAAAATGAACAACTCAATATCCACAACTCAATATTCACGCACAAAAGTGACAGAGAGACGAATCTGAGAATTACATGAAGAACTGAAAGAACTAAAGGAGAGGCATATACTGACTCTAGGAGGTCTGTTCAAAAAAATAAGGTGAGTATTCAAATTTCGGGGGCTAAGTACATTTGATTATCGATTTTTTTTATGATGGTACACTCGTCTGGAACATATGTTCACAGTTTTAGCTGTTTAGCATGCTTAGTTTGTTGGTGAGAGGCATAAAAGTTAGAATTGTTTTGCATGTTCGGCGATTTTCTGCTATAGCAAAAATTGATCAAAATATTTGCATCAAATTTGTGTAAAACGTGGAACTGAGTGCTCAAAAACACTTGAAATGTAGACAGTGGCATACGGTGATTGTACTCTGAGTCAGAAAAATGTTTACAAGTGGTACAAGGTTTTCACAGAAGGTCGAGAAGACATGAATGACGACTTTCTCCCTGAACCCCACCACATCAACAGCCAATGAAAATGTTGAGAAAGTGAAGAAAATTGTTATGGAGAATTATTGAATCACTATTAGAAAAGTTGCTGAGGATGTCGGCATGGCGGTTGGCTCATGCCATGCGATTTTTTCAGAAATTTCGGGCATGAAGCGTGTGGCAGTGAAGTTCGTTGCAAAATTGCTGAATTTCAACCAAAAAAAACAGTCACATGAGCATATTTCTTGAGAAAAATTAGAATACATTTCATATTTTTAACAGATCACATATACCGAGAGCCAGAACACTCACAAACCACAAAAAATTGATCAATAAAATATAAAAATAATTCTTGAAACGTGAATTCTGGAACACACCCAGGAAAACCCTATGAAGACAATATCAGACAAAGAATCAGTATCATTAACAGATGTTAGGATAAACGCAATAAACCAATGAGCTGCAATGTTTCCCAGATATTTGTAAGAAATGAACAAGTCAGGAGAGCCCGAAGCACCAAAAAATGAAGGTACTGAAATATATCCATTTTAGTATCCTAGCAAAAGGTGAAATCTTTTCGAATTCATGGTTGGGTTCGCACACTGCCTTACCTCAGTTCACACAAAACTTATGGAGTGAAATTCCTTTCCATTGAAAGAAGCTGCCTGCGAAACACACTAGACTGAGTTCATAAAATGTTACAAATTTGGTAAAATCAACTTCACATAGTTTTTAGATAGGGTATTCTTTAAAAACTTTTGGACTAAAATCCATTCACAATAATCAGTCAAAAATGAAACAGTTATGAATTGAATATGTGAAATATCTGATACCTGAAACTTGTCTATAAATAATTCCATGAGGAAACAACAATATTTATATTTTGAGCCCTTTATCAATGCCACAAAATTCCCGTGTTTCTTATTTATATTATAGCATAGTAATTCAAAGCTAAATAAAAGAATATACCAACTTTTTTGACCAAGCTGCATTCAAATTGGTGATGACTCTCAATGTATCAACAACCTGCTGTTGTTCTTTGTCTGTTTGTGGCAGTCTCATCTGGTTTGGTATGACAGTCTTTGATTGTTTGAAAGAGTTGACAATTTGAAAAGAAAAAGCATTGTGTATGTGCAGTTGTTCATTAACAATGTGGCACAGTCCATCACCGTTAACAATTTCCAGCACAAACGTTCTTCTGAATCCGTAGAATTTCTCTGAATCCAGTAAGGTCTCCGGAGATTCTTTAAATATACCAGTCACACCAATGATGGCACAACGATGCTGTAAAAGATAAAATGGAAACTTATTATTGTTTTCAATATTATGCATTCTGACCAAAAACAAAATGTTTTGAATTGAAATGATAAGCAAGACCATAATTCAATGAAGCCAAGTTCTTTTATATAGGTACCTCTGAACTTGAAGTGTTGCAGATTTACATTAGTTGAAATTTTCTCACGGCTACTAGAAAAACATCTGAATTTTTTTTTATTAAATCCAGAAATTATAGCATTTCGAACAAAATTAGTTTTTTGAGTTGTGATATATCACTTGGTGACTTTAACAAAAGTCTAACCTCACAGAAATCAAACAAAATTTGGTATCGTATCAATTCAATAATATCACATAATTTTTCATAAGACAACACTAAATATACATCAGTTGATAATAGTAGCCTACATCACTAACTACCACCTAATATTTTTCTAAAATTATTCTATGATATACGTGTAAGTTCAATAAAATATATATACTCACAGTGTGGTACATCAAGTCAACACAAAATGAGAAAGGATCATGTTCTGTAGGTGCCAAACCGCATAATGTGTTTGTTATCATAATGTTGCCTTGAAATAAATATCTGCTATTATGAGAAAAATCTGCCATCTTGTGTAGGTTGCGAGAAATATTATTATATCTATATAACCTAAAAAAAAGGATTGTTTTGAGGAAATTTGTTATGGATTTTTTTATTTTGATATGAGGTCTTTCAACTTTCCAAAATTCTCATATGAACAATACAAACTCAACCTGAAGATTTTTGGTACATTGATGGATTTATTGCTATTCAAGAAACACTTTATTGGGTTTTGCAACACATGTTTCACTATACAATACTTTTTCAAGCGTGTCTATACCAAATTATTATAGTGAGGCTTGTCTATACTAAATTACATAGTATATACATGCCTGAAGTAGCTATTGTATAGCGTGACACGTGTTGTGTTTTTGTTAAAGTGTTTAGGGAAAATCTCAATATGCGTTTTAATTTGTCATCGTGTTAGAAATCACACGTTGAAAGGTAAGACCTCGTTAGTCCTTAGCTCGCACAAGTTTCTCAACTTCTGAGAGTTGTCGTTCGTATGGGGGGACAGCTGATTAACGAAAAAACAGATTAAAAAAAAAATTTAAACAGATCAAGTAACAGCTTATTCCATTATATACATTTACTGGTGAAACAGAACTTCACAAACACATAACTAAAACATGTATTATTTAAAATATTAATTAAAAAAATAAAAACCTTTCCTAACTAATAGTTTTATAATTTCAAATTTATGTGTAAACTGATGTTAATCTGTTTAAATCTGTTGATTCATGAGTAAAACACCCATTTCATTGCTTTTATAAAGCAAATTGGCCGAATTTATTGAGTTGTCTAAACAACTACTTTGAATAGTGAAACTGAATTTTCTTTCAAAACAAGGTAAGACCTCACTGCCTGTTTAACTTAATAAATAAAAATAGTTTGAAAAACTAAAAATTTCTCGAAAAAAATACGATAATTTTTTTGAATTACTGTAACACCTGCTGAGCCTTCCTAGCTTTTTCTTTCTGAAATAAAATCGAATTGGCTGTTCCTATAATATAGCTCTTAAACTGAATATATTGCTAGAACAGATTTTAGTTTATCAAAAAAGCTTCTGCGAATTTGAAATCAATTATACGACCCACCTCTGTAAATGCCGCAATCAAGATGAAGGTCCCTGCTAGCACAAACATCACTTGCTCTATTTTCGGTCTTTCATAAACACATTCAATGAAAATATCCACCAGGTGTTATATTATTGTCCGGTCCGCCATAGTAGTTGGTGAAAACATTTCTGAAAAACTGAAAAGCGACATAGTTAGAGGATACAATAGATAAAATGATGCTCTAATCCTGATTAGACATGATATGAGTAAATGCGATTATAAAATATTAAAATCAGTAATGTAGTCCTTGAACAAATATAAGTGGAAAGTGATATTTGCTGATACTGGACATAATTCGAAATTCTGAAGCGTTTTGAGATAGAGCTGAGTATGCTTTACCGTTACACAATATCTTGAAGGAAGAAAATAATGGAATAAATATGATTTAAAAAACAAAAAACATGATTTTAAAGAACATCAAACTAAAAAGTTAAAAATATATTTTTTAAAATAATCTGCGAATACATCAAGCAATAATGTCGATATATCAAGAAGGTTACGTAAAGCGCCATCTGCCCGCGAATAGATCAAGCAATAATGTAGATATATCAAGGAAGTTACGTACAGCGCCATCTGCCCGCGAATAGATGGGAAATGATTAAGGTTGATCAAATATTTTCCCATTCTGTATAACCTATGCAAAGAAACATTAAATTTCTGTTGTAACTTAAAATTCACCTTAAGATTAACTTCATTTTTTGATTCAGTATTACCTTGTTGTTGCAGAGGAAAACTGGCCATTGTAATAAAAACTATTGAGGGAGAACATTGCGTTCTTGTGATAAAGCTCTTGAAGCATCTTACGATTGTTGGAATCATAAACCATAAAGTAACGTTCCAAAAATTGATTGACAACATCTAACCCATCTGCATCGCAAAAATAATTTTTTTTGGGTGAAGGAAAACCAGCCAGCTTCACAGTGATTCCATCCTAAGAGAGGTTTGATAGGTTGAAAAATTTTAAATTTGACTTGGAATGCAAAAAAGTCAAGTTGATAATACATACCAATATTTCCAAGTGTTTACAGTAATTTTTTACCCCTTCAACATATTCTTCATATCCATATTTTTCACAAAGTGGATTGCCATCTAGATATAACTCCTTCAACTGGAATACTTTAAGGGGCTGCAAAATGTTCAAGTCCTCAATCTGGAAGGAAGACAAAGAATAATATTGAATTACGCAACATTTATATGTCCAATATTTTTCACAGAACTGTTTAAGTTCAACAAAAACTTTCCTCTGGTGATTTATTAGTTTTTCATACTTTTTTTAATACTACCAGTTTCAAGCTGAAACTTGCCACTTTGAACGAAATATTCTAACTCGGTTGAGAAATTTCAGACTTTTTCATAAACATCTTGTATTCTAAACTATTGAAGATGTTTGATTTTTTATCCTTTAAAGTAAAACAAACATTTCCTCAAGTATTGACTGAATAACGCAACAAACTTTTTCTTTGACTTTACCTTTTACTTTAAAAATAAGGATTAAAAATGATAAATTGGGTAGGGTGTTTTGACTTGAACATATTCTCTTATGATAGATATTATATATTATAAACTTGGGACAAGTCATTAGAAAGATTTGGAATGGCATTCAGATTCAAATGAGCAAGTTGGGAAAATATATTAGTTATTAGCAGAATGTCAATATCAAAAGAGAACAGGGTTATGTTACAAATAATAATGACCACACAGTCGGTTAACACATGCATATTTTTCAACTTCAAGGAATCCTTAAAGAAAAAATACCCACCCGTAGAAATTTCGTAAAAGAAAGAGTATAATGTATGAACATCCCCACTGATTTACAATGTAACAACTTTCTGAAAGTGAAACATGAAGTAAAAGTTTGCTGTATGAATCAGCCATTACAGGTAGGAAAAAGTTCATAAATTTTTTTAGAACTCATAAAAAACAAAAAAAAGAAATTTCATATTCCACTGAAGTGACATAATGCTTCACAATAGTTTGCATTAATTCAAATTAACTCACCAAATTATTCCTGAGATCCAAGCAAGTTACTGTTTTAACGATACCACTGAGTGCTTCCATAGGATTCAGGATTTTTATCCTGTTATCATTCATCAAATATTTTTCTGGAGGTGGTGTCAGATTTTTTGCTAGGTGTAACAAAAAGAACATAATTTTTGGTTGGGACATTGGGCAGAACTCCGTCAGTTCTGAAAATAATTTGAATTTTGTTACCCTTGGTGTGTTATGGTTTACGGTCCCATTGAAGTACTTCGTAGGGAGTGGGTATTAAAAGCTGATTATCATTACAAAGGATGTTATATGTTGGTGAAAACATGATCCATTGTACAACTTGTCATGAATGTTAATTTTACAAAATATCAAAGAACTCTAGTTTTTTATTGATGTTAAGACAGACGTTTAGTTTATTATAATAAATATGTCACAAATATATCAATATCATACAAAACAGTTTATTTGTCACAACAAGTGATAGACCAATTATGGATATATTGAGACTATAAAACACGATATACTAACCAGGATCCTCATGTATTTTAACCATATTCAGAGTTCTATTAGTTACATCATATCGCCTCGTTAGACTACTAATTATATTTTTCTGAACATCTATTTTGAATTCCCCTGTGGTTGAAAATTTGAGGATGATGGATATTTTATACTGAAAATGAAGATGCTTTTCGGAAGAGGATAATTTTTTTCTATAAAACTTACTGGTCTTGAACTTCTGGGATTAGGTACAACTAAATTATCATTGCACAATTTTTGGATTGCTGGACCGCAATTTCTAGCTAAAAAATAGGATCCAAGGTTGTCAGTATAAAATGAAACTGGTATCAAATCCAAAGGGTGTACGTGGTCCAAAATCGCTCTCAAAACATTATTACGAGAACTATTCTCAGCATTGTTTATCTGTAAATGAATATTTCAAAACTTGGAGTGTACTACCTCCGGTATCTATCTAATATGTGAAACTCACTATGAATTTATGCCAACAATTTATATTTGTGAGGAGGGCTTTATTCTTGAAAATAATTCCTGTAGGAAGATTAGTTGATGTTACCATAACAGAAGAACTATTGGGTTTCATAGATGCTACATTTATGTTGGGAGTATTTTGAGCCATGGTTTAAAAAATATTAAAACGTAGAAGTTTTCACTATTTTTTCATTAGGCGTTAACTCGAAGAAATTGATTCAATCCTAAACTCTAACTACACTTATTCCAATATTCCAAATCACCAATATTGAAAATAATAAACAAATAAATGAGTATAGTTTATCTGACAAGTGACAAGGTTCTTCTTCTTATTCCGATAAGCCAGGCGCAATTGAACAAGTTTGCTGTCCATAACAGTATCTATTGAGGGTTCAGTTGGTGCCCTATTCCAAAATCACGAAGTCTGTTAAAAAAAAGATGACTTTTCACTTTTCTCAAAAATATATTCATTTCATTAATCAATTTCTATTTTGTGCCCTTTAAAGTGGTCCCCCTAGCGTTTTTTCCAATCGTCGAAGCAGTTCTGATGTTCACTTTTTGCTATGTCCTTAAGCTCTTTCAGCGATTCGGTTTTTAAATCCTCAATTATCGCAAAACGCCGTCCTTTCATGGGTATCTTCAATTTTGGGAACAGAAAAAAGTCGCGGGGGGGCAGATTGGGGAATTCGGAGGCATATGATTACGGTGATGTTTTTGGCTAAAAAATTACGAACAAGAATTAACGAGTGAACAGGTGCTTTATCATCGTGATGCAAAAGCCATAAATTGGTTTTCCACAATACCGGACGTTGTCTTTGTATTGCTTCTCGCAAGTGGTGCATAACTTCAAGATAATAATCCTTATTGACCGTACGACCATGTGGCAATAACTCCATATGCACTACACCACGGTAATCGAAGAAAACAGTGAGCAAAACCTTGACATTTGATCCAACTTGGCGTGCTTTTTTTGGTCCTGGCTTTCCTAGACTTTTCCTTTGAGAAGATTGGACTTTGGTTCGCTGTTGACGTCTTCAACAATAATTCCTGAGCGATACTCAAGCGACGTTTTTTTTTTTGTTTTTTTGATCAAAATTCCGTAATTTCAGAATAAACTTCGCTACCACACGCTTCATAGCCAAAATTTTTGAAAAAAATGCATGACATGAGCCAACCGACATGCCGACATCCTCAGCAACGTCTCTTATAGTGATTCGACGATTTCCCACAACAATTTTCTTCACTTTGCCAACATTACGATAGGTTGTTGATGTGCTGCGGCGTCCAGGGCAAACTTCGTCATTCACATCTTTTCGACCTTATGTGAAAAGCTTGTACCACTTGTATACATTTTTATGACTCAGAGTACAATCACCGTATGCCACTGTCAATATTTAAATTGTTTTTGTACACTTAATAGTTAATTTTTCACCCAAAGTTTGTCGCAAATTCTTTGATTAAATATTTTTGATAGTAGAAAATCGGCCAACACGCAAAACCCGAGACGAGTTTACTAACATCTGAGAACATTTCCTACTTATTGTCGTGAGGATTAATAAAAAATCTGGATTCATATGAAGTATGAAACAGGTAAACATAAACAATATGAAAAGGTAGAACTTTCTTCGGTATATTTTAAAATCAAGAAAAAATTAAGAATAGGGGGCAATGTATATTTTTCTTTTTGATTTTTTAGAATAAATGTATAAATTTCACTGAGATTGTTGAGGTTCAATTTTTTATTTATCACTTGTTCCTCGTTATTCATCTTAGTGAATTTTGAAATATCACTTTTCTTCAACTTATATGTCATGCAAGTTTTTTTTGTAATTTTTTTACCCAATGAAAAATGAAACATTTTAAGTTTTTTTTTGATATATCAGCGTTCTATCATTGCTAATACATATGCAAGTTTTTCTGCTCTAAGATAGAGAATAAGGTAAAGTAAGGACAGATTTCTACATGATAGTTTTTTTTATGTGTGGGATCTTTCCTCAAGTAATAAAGAGAAGAGAAAAGAGAAATAATCTCATTTTTGAGGTTATGTTTGTGTTTTAATCAATCTATCAACAGACAAGTTTAAACACATAGACGAAAATTCGTATGTTTGAATTCAAAGTTTTCAATATTTTTTTGAGAAGATATGTCGGAAATTAAAGCACAGTACGAAAAATATGTTCAAGATCATAGAATACCATGTAAATACGGAGTTAAATGTTACCAAAAAAATCCTATCCATCATGAAAAATATAAGCACCCACCATTAAAGAAAAATGAGGTAAGTAGAGAATTTTCTACAATTTCACTGATAAGAGTCTAATTGAGACCTTTTGCTAGTAATCAATCTTTTCTTTATTGGTTTCTGATCAGTTGAAAATTTCTAACTTTGAATATTTCATTAGGATAAAAATCCAAACAGACATGCTACAAAAAAATTTAAAGCAGAGAATAAGGTCATAAGGAACACTGAGTCAGATTCAGATAACAATGATAATGACGAAGTGAGTGACTCTAGTTCTACAAGTCAAAAGAATAAAACCAATGTGAATAATGATGTCTCTGATTCCGATCAGGGTAGTTCCTCAAAGGAAGGCCAGGATAACTCTGACAATGAATCTGATGATTGTGGAGATGAGAAATCTGCAAATGCTTCCTCTTCAAGCGAAATGGCGACTGAGGAGGAAACGAAGAAAAGCAAATGTAAAAATGACAGTGAAGATACCTGTGCAGATCAAGAAAAGGAAGATACTGAAGAGATGATAACTCACCATGCAACTGAAGAGGAATTACAGTGGTCAAAATTTATAAAAGAAAAATTCTTGGTATCGATGCCAAAAGACTTTTATCAGTTTTGGATATTTTGCTCAAAATTGAAGCCAAACAATGGCTTGTTGGCCTTGAGGGATGTTGGATTAACACTAGTTGGGCCATTTGATGTACTTGCAGGCAAGAATTACTACAATATTTTTTAGGAGAAACTTGATTTGATTCATCGTAACAACTTTTTTTTGTATAAAGCTGTGGAGTAGGAAGCTAAAACCTCTCCCAAATACGTGATTCCATGGTAATTTTTCATCAACCAGGCATGAAAAAATTGCATTTTCTTTATTTTACATATTTTTGCTTGCTCATCATTAATCTGAAGTAAACATTTTTTTCATTTGCTATTTCAGGTTCCTTCTATTCTCGTAGAATAAAATAAAATTACTTTTGACTGCAGAAAAGTTTTGGTGATAGATATTTCGGAATCCGAGAAATATTTTTTCTGTAATTTTAAATAAGTAATTTGTTCATGGACTGTATCATGAGTGCAGCAAGTTCAATTCGAAAAAATGTTTACAAATCTATAATTTTCCAAATAAATGTTGTTGAGCTAATGACTTCACTGTGATAATTTGATAAAATTCTAAAGTTGAAGGATTTTGCATGTACTTAGCTTGGTGTAAGAGGGATATCAGTTGAAATTATCTCAAAAAAAGGTAAATGATAATATAAACACAAAAACTCCAAAATTCAAATTTTAGGATTCAGGATTATTAATCCTGAAAATAATAATTACTTGTCAAAAATATCAGTGTTGACATCACCAGACAGGAGCGCCATTTTATGTTCATTTCAAACTATTAAATAGGTGTAGGATATTCAATGGCTTTGAAACTTTGGAAAAGCTATCTAGCCTTCAACTTTTTCAGTTTTTATACATTGCGGGAAATAGTCATAACAACATCCATAACAACATAAATTGAATATATTTATCTGCCTTTCTTGAAGATAATGATGAAATTCTAATAGAAATAGTTTGAATCTACATATTATTTCTCAAGTAGATCGAAACTGTCGAAATAAACAAAACCATTGTATCTCAACAAAAATGTCTGTTATGAGAGATTTATTATCTCATTCTTGAAAGTTGACATTTAAAAATTCAATTATGACATGTTAATGTATAAAAAATTTGAAACTAAATAATGACGTTGACATCTTCCCGTATGAAGACGCCATCTATGGGATTGACAGAGAACTAAATCCTTGGATGACAATATGACAATGGTTAGTCTATATACAAAGTGACAATCCTAAGACTACTATAGTGATATAATTACCAAAAATAAAATTTGAAACTCGAGCAAACAAAAAGAAGTAGATATAAGTTGAGTATATGATTGTATGAGAAAAGATACAGATGGTATAGAAACTGTTATTCAACGTAGGAAATTCATTTTTTCAGTACATGCCATTTTTTGGAATTTTCGATTATAAATTGCTTGAGGGCATATTTGAGGGCATATTTTTTCATTGTTTTCAATTCTACTGGGAGTAGGTTGTACAGTTTTGGACCATAATAGAACACAAATCTTTGTGTATGGCTTTTCTTGTAGAGTGGCATTTTTTTATTTCAAATTCTCGACTGCTCTAGTTCTTACTGTTGTATGAGTTACACAGTTGTTAAAGTTCGAGAACATCCATATTAGACATTGGTAACTAAATAATGATCTTACGTTAAATAAATTATTCTTTTGATATAGATGATAGTTAAAAAACATCTATTTTTTTTAAAGATAATATTCAAAATTGAGTTCTGTTCTGTTTGTAAGCTATTAATGTGGTTGTTGAAAGTACCACCCCATGTATTATACAATATCTCATTATGAATTCTGCCAAAGACTGGTATATTGAAAATAATTTTTTTTCCTAAATGTTCATGAAACTGTAAATATACTTAAGTTATAATATAAAAGCTGATTTCTATTTATACTTGCTTATCTGGCAAGGAGTTGGAACTATCAAAACTGTCTGGATAATGAGGAAACATCCAAATAATTCGGAATTACCTGGTGACTATATGTTTTCTATACGCATTAAAAACCCCAGAAAACAGCCGTTCATATCTTTAATGTAAATACTTTTTTGGAGTATATCGACTCAACTAATATTTCTCACATACCTATTTTAGAAAAAATACACTGACTTTGATTATCCACACTGAAAAGTTCATAGTATGCCCCCAGACCCTGAATATTCTATGAGTCCATGAGCGTGGAGATATTATCGGCAAAGCTTCCGAACGGTAATTTCCGATCCTAAGTTTTTTCTAAAAACAGATAGAAATATCAAAAATTCTCTAGAGGAGGTACATTTTTCATCCACATAACATTTGTAGCTTCCTGTATTCTGCCAACTTTTCAAATGACACCCTATGATATTTTATTTGATAACACTGATGACGTCAGTCAACTACCTGTATTATTATCCTGAATCGAAAGATGGCAGCACTTCCATTAAATTAAGATGAACTCAGGTGAACCATTTAAATCCTCTAGTGAAATATAGAAACGTCAAGATCATACTTCACAGGATCATTTCTGTAGTAGATCTTCGCATACTCTCTACTCAAATGTAGAGTTGTCGCAACCATGAGGATGAGTTAAAGTCTCGTTTCTTGAGCGTGAGGCAGACAAATTGTGGAAAATTACATTTCTACATTAGTCATCGATGATCGTTCACTCTATGGATTTTTCCCTAGAGAATAGAAATGAGACATTCTGAGTGGTTGCATTTTAAGAAAAGAAAACAAAATTATTTCATTTGTTGTGTATTTTACATTTTTTGTAATTCTAAATACTCACAGAATATTGAAATGGTAACATTCAGAGTGGCTGTAATTTTAGAAAATAAATTAAGCTATTCAGTAATTTTTGACATTTTTAGTCCATTAATTTGTTGAAACAGCATTTGACTGTAAATTCCGAGAGGAAAGAGAGTCAATGCTTCAGAAAATTGTGAAATCTTGGGTGTAATATCAGTAATAAAAGGTAATGAAGTGAAAAAATGATCAATTGTCATATTTTTTTATTGATATTATGTTAATACATAATTAATATATTCAATATTAATGGAATCTGAACTGATAATGATAATTTTATTAGTCTTTATAAACACTGTTTTAGACACGTCACTACAACTTCTAAAATAAGTTTGAGAGGATAAGATTCGTCAATACAGTTTCTAAAAAATGCTTGTAGATACATGAGATTTACAAAAAAAATACAAGTTAATAAGATAAAATTCCAACCTTATAAAAATTTACTAAAACGTAATGTCATGAGTATTTTTCAAATTATAAATCATAACTGACATAGGTATTCTATCTATTTAAAGTGAGTCCAAGTTCAGGAGGAGACCACAAAAGTGCCGCTTTCTTCTTGAATAACTTCGAAAAATTGATAAATTCCATATAATGGATGTTTAGTTAATATTGTCTTCAATAAGATTTTGTATCTTCCGAATGGCAAGTTACGAAATTCGACAGATGAGCATTGTATAGCTTAATTCCATATTATCTGTTCTTTTCAACCTATTAGCTGTAAGAACAAGGTTCGATTTATTTCTTGTATCATGTTCATTCACCAAGTTCTGATTAACAAGAGGCAGATTGTCATAAACAGTAACAGAATATAGGGTCATTATTTTAAGTTTACAAATATTGGTCGACATTTTTCATCATAATTGGCAGAGAAGCTTCTTACTGCAGATTTTTGAATGACAAGTATTTTATCAAGATGTACCTTTGATGTATTACTCTAATTGATTATGCCATACCTAAGGCCTGAATGAAAAAGTAAATGATATGATGCAAGTGCCGCACTTTAATTTACTGTTTTTTTTTTAATTCTTCTGTCTTACTGAGTTTACTACACATGTTATTTATATGGTCTATCCATTTCAGGTTGGAATCTATTTGTGCTCCCGAAAATTTTGTAGAATTTTGCTATCTCGATTTAAGCAAATTGTTTCAAAAGTTTGTGTTTCTGTTTTTTGGTCATGGAGAATCAAGTCATTTGGGTGAACCATGATAGAGCTTTCTCTAATATGTCAGTATGGATCATATGAGGATCATCCATTTTATATATTTTTTTACTCAAGGTGCCTGTATGACTACTGAGTCCACTGACTTGACTTTTTTATGTTGCATTTGATTTGTAAATAACCGAAAAGTGAGTTCGCAAGATACAATATTTAAACATCATCATTATAAATCTTGTTAGCTTTTTGAGTAATTTGATGGAGGCTAGACAAGACAAGACAATTTATTTTCCACTGAATGTTACAATACAAGTACCATACATTATGGGAATCGTCACTAATAAATAGGATATAATAATATTACAATTTCACTTTTTGGTCATAAAATAAAATAAATTAATATAAATAAATAGGTACATGTACACACTTTAAAAATTAATAAATGAAATATAAGTTTATCAATACTAATTAGGATTATTCGGATTATTCGGGAGGGATATCCAACAACAGTAACTTTTTGTGAAGAGTCATATTTTCTGGTGATTCTGCTCCAAACTGAAATGAATATTGGATTGATTATATAATATTAACTGGATGATGTGGTGTCAAAACCAAAAACTGACGGGTACCTCATTATTTTTTTTCGTAATTCAGATGAGATTTTCTCACATTGATGTATAAGCTTTAAAAACAAGTACCTAATAATATTTTTTTTCTTCATCTTCTTTAGACGCCAAGGTGGTTGTTGAAAAGCGCGTTTAGAAGATTATTGCATTGGTGATTTCTTGTTTTGAAAATAACCTACTCCCCAATTCAACAGTTGAGAAAATGAACTATGAAATGTAAAAAGTTTGTTATATAATAAAAGAATAATATTTCTCCATTTTTTTTTATTAGTATATATTTCGCATCACTATGTGGAAAAATAAATGTAAAAGCACTAATGTTATGTGGGTATTGCTTTCAGGCAGGTTTAAGAATGTATCCAAATCCGACGATGAGTATCTTATCCACTGGCGGTATTTTCGTGATCCACCTGAATTGCAGACAGTATTAAAAGGAGATGATCGTATCGGATATCATATAGGGTATTTTAGAGATACCCCTGAAGAAATGCCGGTATTTCTGGTTAGCAATTCAGCAAAAAAAGATGGAACTTTGACACCGATGGGTAGTAACATTTTTGCTGCTGTCAAGCAAGTATTTCATTTGATTGATTTTTTATTTCGAAGAACTGTTTTGCTGTAAATAATTTTTTAGGGATCAAGTGAAAATTTTTTCTGGTAAAATCTCACTATTTGGTTTTTATTGCAGTTTTTACCTGGATGATTTGAAAAAAACTGGTGACCCATTCAAAAAAATGCACATAGGAAGAATTCAAGCTGCTTTGAAGAAGGAAGTTGAAAAATTGAAAATTGACCTGTCAAAGAAGAATAAGAATATCATTGAGCGAGAGAAAAAAATTGTCACTAGAACTCTGAATAAAATTGGACTTGTCGTTCCATACAATAAAAAGTGAGTATTATAGTTTACTTGGTGAAGTTGACTAAAATTTCAGTTGTTGAGCTAAGAGCTCATCCCTCCGACTCATGTTCCAATATTGATGTAATAATTGATTGAAAACTTATTCTGTATTGCAGAACAGAGTTGGGGTACAGAGAACTAGCTCTGAATAACAAGGATTTGAACACATTATTCACAAAACTGGAAAACTCCAAATCTGATGTAGAAAAGCAGAAATTACTTTCGGACTTGCAGCCAGTTTTCACATTTTCCAGTATAGCAACAGATGAATGTGATTTTGGAACGGGAATCGAGCTTGGGTGGAACATTATAAGTCACGGAGTTGAAGACTTGAACCGAACTGCTGAAAGATCACTAGCCATAAATTACCGTCTGTTAAAAAGAGAAGCTTTCGCAAGAATCGCTGAAGCACATATGAAAAATCGGCGAAAGGGATGTGATTTGAGTATTTTATAAATCATCATGAAAGTGAATTTTTTTTTGAATAAATATGACATTTTGTGAGAATTTATTATTTTTTTATATTCTGTTAAGAAACAAATTGAATGTTCATTTTCTTTTGTAGTAATTTAGGTCTGAAATGACTGACATTTTTACTAGGCTAGTTTATCAATTGCAAAAGTAAATACATAAAATTTGTCAACTCATTCAAATTCTTTGAATTTTTTTCGTTATGATTTTTGAAACTTGTAAAAAATTAGCATTGTCTCCCAGATAAAATAGTATGAAATACTAATACCAAAAATAGCAGTGAGGTTTAATTCAGACACTGTAGATAATGTTCATTTTCTTTATCATATCTCATCATGAAATGGGCTACTCCCTATTTCTGCTCAAATGCCAATAAAACTCTTCTCCATTCGAATCAAAGTTCAATTGATTATTATTCTGTGGTTTAATCATTTAATTTTACATCAGATGAAAACGTTTTCTGATTGGTTACAATACGCCACTATATTTGTAAACCTTTATTTTTAGAATTTCTTGACAGAAAATCAAAATTTGACAGCTTCAATTTATCCAATATCCAGTTACTGAAACTACTTCCTTAGAGAAACACCCAGAAGCAAGCACAATATTTCTTTTGAATACAAAAGTATAATTAGTAGAACCAGTATTGGTCTTACATTATTTTTGAAGTGGTACGATATGTGAATTTTTGGAAAATGGCGAACCTTACATACAGGGAACAAATTCGCTACACAATTCTCGAAATACTGTTATGAAGGTCGAAGTATCTTTTTGTGAAACAAGTGTACTGAACAAATTGTGGTTGAGAATTTCAACAAAAGTGGATTTTAAATATGCCCATAAATTATTTTTACTTTTTGCACAATATTGTATTCAACACCCAAGTCAAATGCTTAATTTTTTTTCTAATATAAAATATTTCTCCACAGCTTACGCAAACTTGTAAAATCAGATTTTTTGAGAGGGAATTTTGCATGCCACTTTATTAATTACATTTTTTATTGATTTTTATTTCTTAGGTAGATTCCCTTGTCAATTGTCAACAATGATTCAGAGTAAAATGTTTCTTGTGCCCTCATATAATTGAATATTAAGTGAGTATTGATTAGCTTGATTGAAGATCTAATACTAAACCAAAAAGATATAATAAATAAACTCGCGTTTCGCGGATATACATTATTTTCTTTGGTAGTCAAAATGATGTTGCAAGTAGAGCGGATATAATGTTGCAACTAAAGTGGGTAGCAAGCTGTTGTCTCCATTTGCCAAAATATTTGTATGAAGAAATACAACATGTGAATTCTAGGAAGAGACTTGAAAAATCTATTTCTCCCCCTTCTCTCACTCTCGCTGTCTTCTAACGAACGCAGATCTAGTGGGCGGGGCCATAACGGAATTCAGAAAGCTCTTCCTGCATTTGACAAGCTGTAAATAATTGAAGGTAGAAAGTAAGTATAATATAAATTGGAATTTCACTTAGTTCTAATTACTTTTCTACAACTGTGTGTGAAGAATCAATTGATAACACATAACACTGATGGCGGCAGTTGACTACCTGTGTTATTATTCTGAATGTAAAGATGGCAGCACTTCCATCAAACTGAGATAAACCTAGGTGAACCATTCAAATTCTCTGAAAAATGTGGAAATTTTAAGATCATACTTCACAGGATCATTTCTGTAGTAGATCTTCGCATACTCTCTACTCAAACGTAGAGTTGTCGCAACCATGAGGATGAGTTGAGGTTTCGTTTCTTGAGCGTGAGGCAGATAAATTGTTGAAGTTACTTTTCTACATTAGTCATCGATGATCGTTCACTCTTCGGAATTATCCGTGTAGAATAGAAACGAGACATTCTGAGTGGTTGCATTTTGAGAAATCAAACAAAATTATTCAATTTACTGTTTTCAACATTTTGTAAATCAAATTACTCACAGAATATTGGAAGCGTTATGTTTCTTCAAAGGAAATCTATAACTCGATATTCTATGATTTTGTAATATTTAATATGGAATAATTAAATACCTTACAAATCTTGTATGGTCTGGGTCACAAGATTCTTTTTTTGAGCACCGAAAATTAAGATCTAGGGCTCATTCGATTCGGAATTAACCTCAGCAACTTTCTGAAAAATTTCAAGAAGGGCTCGAAAAAATTGCAAAAGTTACAATTTAGTAAAAAAAGGAGGGTTTGGTTTTTTGCAAATATCTCGGAAAACATTAAGGATATCCGAAATTTGAAGAAAGATCCTTTAAGAAGCGGAAATTTCCTAAAAAAAGTCCTACCTTCCGGATCTCTATCATCAATATTTATAATTTTAATTCAAAGGCGAAAATACCACTAAAAGCGGGCGATAGGCGTCTAGCACGCACTGGCCTATACGGACCTTTGAAAAATAGAAAAATAAAAATTATTTTAACCCATTAAATATCATTATTAAGAAAAAAAATTAACGGGAATCTTTCTTGAAGGCTTTCAAGAACAGTTTCAAGAAGTGAAAAAATTTTATGTTTTTAGTTTAAAAATTATCAGGGTTTCGTGAATTAAAAAAAAATCCATGGATTTTCGTTCATTCAAGTGTCTAGAAGGTATGTGAATTTTTTTCTCAATAATGATATTTAATGGGTTAAAATAGTTTTTATTGTTCGAAGGTCCGTATCGGTCAGCGCGTGCCAGACGCGCATCGTCCGCATTTAGCGCTATTTTCGCTCTGACCGGGAGTGGGACTTTTTTCAATAAATTTCCTAATCTTTGAGGATCTTTTTTCAATTTTCGGATATCTTCAATATTTCCCGAAATATTTACAAAAAACCAAACTCCCCTTTTTTACTAAATTGTTTATAACTACGTCAATTTTTTCGAGCCCCTCTTGAAATTTTTCAAAAATTTTCGGTGCCCTTGAACGGAAGTTCTAAAAAAGGTATTGTGACCCAGACTATGTATAGGTCCCAATTTTAATGCTTTTTGTAACGTAACTAATATTTCTTATATACCTATTTTGGAAAAGTATACTCTCATGAACGAAACTCAAAAGTTCATAGTGTGCCTCCCAAAGCCTGAAGATATTCTATGAGTCCATATGGACCATGTATTATTATTCTGAATCAAAAGATGGCAGCACTTCCATTAAACTAAGACGAACTCAGGTGAACAATTTAAATACTCTGGTAAAATATAGAAATGTCAAGATCATACTTCACAGGATCATTTCTGTAGTAGATCTTCGCATACTCTCTACTCAAATGTAGAGTTGTCGCAACCATGAGGATGAGTTGAAGTCTCGTTTCTTGAGCGTGAGGCAGACAAATTGTGGAAACTACTTTTCTACTTTAGTCATCGATGATCGTTCACTCTTCGGTATTATCCCTAGAGAATAGAAACGAGACATTCTGAGTGGTTGCATTTAAGAAAATAAACAAAATTGTTCAATTCGTTCTGTTTTTTACATTATGTAAATCAAATTACTCTGAGTATTGAAACCTGAGAACATCTTTCAGCTCGTGGACAATATTTTTTTTCGAAAGAGATCTATAATTCACATAGTTACTATAATATTTAATACGAAATAATTTACATACTTGTTTGTCCACGAGCTGAAAAATGTTCTCAGCAAAGCTACCGAACGAAAATTTCGGATCCCAAGTTTTTTAGAAACACGTATAGTAGAGAATAGAAACAAATTTCTTACGTTTTTAGCCATTTCAAATACTTTTTATTTCAATCACAGGATAGAAATATCATTTTTGTTCTGAAAAACATTAGGTATTGCTATAAATTTGTTTTATGAAGCTTCGTTTAACTGAAAATCCCGAGTCAATGCTTCTGAAAATTTGTGAACTATTAGAAATATAAGTTAAATAAATAAATGAAAGTGATGTATGGGTCAGATATTCTGAGAATTGCCTCGTATAGGTATAGAGAAAACATAATTTCATTATATGGTAACATTGCTAGGTATATTCTAAACCGCATCAGGTATAGATGGGGAAAAGGTAACTATCCTTGGGAACAGTGAATAGTCAAAGAAAATTAACAGATATTTTCGCCATGCTCGAGTCATACAGAGAATATCATAAATGGAAAAGGAAAATTTAATGTACAATTTAGCAATGAATGTTTGATTAAACGTGTCGTGTCAACATGGACACCCTTATTTTTTTCTCAAATACGTACCTGTCTCTTTTATTACAAACATTGAAAACCATAAAATTACAATACAGTGGTAGGTATATGTATATCTATCTTAGCCATTTCAAATAATTTCTTATTTTAATCACAGGATAGAAATATAATTTTTGTTCGGAAAAACATTACCATTGTAAATTTGTTTTTTGAAGCTTCGGTTCACTGAAAATCCCGAGTCAATGCTTCTGAAAATTTGTGAACTATCAGGAATATGAGTGTACTGAACATTTTAATAATATCTTGTTCAACAATGAAAGTGATGAGTCAGATATTCTGAGAATTGCCTCGTATATACAGGAAACATTATTTCGTTATATGGTATCAATGCTAGGTATATTCTAAACTGCAACAGGTATAGATGGGAAAAAAGGTAACTATCCTTGGGAACAGTGGAATAGTGAAAGAAAATTTACAAATGTACTTATAACCATTTAGCAATGAACGTTGGATTAAACGCTTCATGTCAACATGGACACCCTCCCCTTTTTTTTTTCAAATACGTACCTGTCTTTTTTATTGTAAATATTGAAAATCATAAAATTACAATACCTCTTAACTGAATAAAATTGCAGCAATCACATTTTTTGATGAAATTGTACTCAATGATAAAAAAAACAAATTCCAATTAGATTTCTCTTCGATTTTTTGCATTTTCTGAGAACATTTACTATAGTAATGTATATTTTTTTACACCATCAGAAAGTAGAGATTTCAACGAACAAAAAGCACACCGACTTTTTGAAAAAAGCTGATATTTTGACGCGAGAATTTTCGATTGAAAATTAGGGTGCTTTTTTGATATTAAGTCAAAATAAGGTGAAAAAATAAATATTTCAAATCAAATAAATTACAGTGTATTTGAGACATAAAAAGGTAAGTTTTCATCGAATTTCGTAGAATACTTTTTTTTAAAGATAAAAATTAAAAAGCATAAACGCGGTTTTTTGAATTTTTCATATAAATTTTGAGGTTGTGTGTAAAAAAGTAGTAGATCTTTTTCTTTTTATTACCTACAACTTTGCCTATCAATTTTTTTCTGTAGGACTTGTAGTTTTGCCGAAAATCGAGAGAAACCATTTTTTACCCCTGAAAACTCACCCCCTCTCACTACCCGAACTCAAATCGCCCGTAATTTTTTTCCTTTCATTTTTATCACATCCACCTCCTTTTCAAATGGGTTTCATCCTACTATTAGGTACTTTTGTTCACTTTTCAACATTTTTGAAGGCTTAAGCCATGGTCTAGTCAGATTATGGAATTCTTCAATGTTAGGGATTTTCATCTTACTCCGACGAAAGTAACTCTTGACAAGGAACGGCCTATTTCAACATTGAGTTTGAATATCAAAAGATCAGTTAATTGGTAATGACACGTATGATCACATATTGTTTTCAGTTTCCGAATCGAAAATAATTTAGAAATTGACACAGCTGTCCTGTTCCATAAGTAACCAACAATAAATATATTTTTCAGGTAACCGCTGTCAAAAATTCACATTCTCAATCGTAATTGTTTCAAATGAAACGCTATAAAAAATTTGAGTGTGATATACTACTAAATTGTGATTTTATGGCTTGCGATATTTGTTATAAAAAAGACAGGCCAGTATTATAAAAAACGTTGATGGTAGTGGACTTGATTCGGACAGGAAACGTTCAATCAAAAATTCATTGTTACACCCTTGCAGTACATTTCGAATGCAATGAAACTTTCCATTTCCATTTTTAGTATTCTCTGTATAACTTGAGAAGGGCGAAAGTAACTGTAAATTTTCCTTGACTATTGCACCGTTACCCAGGATATTTACCTTTTTCTCCATTTAATCGGCTTCATATGTGTTATATGGTGTAGAATATAGCAAGGTTACCACATAATGAAAGGAATTTTCCTGTGTATATGAATAGATTATTTCTCAAAATATTCGACCTTCCCTTTCACTTTCATTTTTGGACAAGATATAATTTAACATGTATAATAGGTATACACTCATATTCCTAACAGTTAAGAATCCATTTATATTTAAAATATCATTAATGATAAAATGTAACAATTGATGATTTTTATACTTTTTATTATTGAAATCACACCGAATCTCTCTATCGGGATTTTCAATGAAACGCTGTTTCTAAAAACAAATTTACAGCGGTGATTTTTTTTTGAATGTAAATAGAATATTGAACAATTTTGTTAATTTTCTTGAATGCAACCACTCAGAATGTCTCGTGTCTATTCTCGACGGATAATTCCGAAGATTGAACGATCATCGATGACTAATGTAGAAAAGTAGTTTCCACAATTTGTCTGCCTCACGCTCAAGAAACGAAACTTTAACTCATCCTCATGGTTGCGACAACTCTACGTTTGAGTAGAGAGTATGCGAAGATCTACTACAGAAATGATCCTGTGAAGTATGATCTTGAAATTTCCACATTTTTCAGAGAATTTGAATTGTTCACCTAAGTTTATCTCAGTTTAATGGAAGTGCTGCCATCTTTCAAACTAGAATGATGACACAGATATTCGACTATGTTAGTTCATTGAAAGTGCTGCCAATTTCTAAATCAGAATAAAAACACTGGTGGTTGACTGACGTCATCTGTGTTACGTGTTATCAATTGAGTAATCATATATCATAGGGAAACAGGTATATAAAGTAATGTTGTAATATATTTTTACTGTTGAATAATTATCTATTTTTACAATAATTGTGGATGTTATTAAAACAACGATAAAAATAAAATAAAAACAACAATAAAAATTAATTGGCGCTCCGGGGCGACTTCATTGATTCCAGTGGCGCATTTGCTTTTTCAGCTGCAGGAAAACCCGGAAAAACCTGCAGCACCACATCATCTGAAGATCTTGATCTAACAATGTCCTCTCTCTTATAAAACAAAATGTAGGGTGTCTCCAGAGGCTCCAATAAATAAATAAAAATGTGATGAATCATTTGATAAGACGTAATACCGATGACGTCAGTCGACTACCTGTGTTATTATTCTGAATCAAAAGATGGCAGCACTTCCATCAAACTAAGGTAAACCGAGGTGAACCATTTGAATTCACTGGAAAATATGGACACTTTAAGATCATACTCACGTTTCTTGAGCGTGAGGCAGACATATTGTGGAAACTACTTTTCTACATTAGTCATCGATGATCGTTCACTCTACGGAATTATCCGTCGAGAATAGAAACGGGACATTCTGAGTGGTTGCATTTTGAGAAAATAAACAAAATTATTCAATTCGTTCTGTTTTTTACATTTTGTAAATCAAATTACTCAGTATTTCAACCGTTATTTTTCTCCGAAGGAGATCTATAACTCATATGGTACTATATTTTGTAATAATTGATATGGAATAATTCACCTACTTGCCCACGAACTTAAAGATTTTCTCAGCAAAGCTTCCGAACGAAAATTTTGTATCCCAAGTTCTTTCGAAACACGTATAGTACAAATACTTTTTTTATTTCAATTACAGGATAGAAATATCATTATTGTTCGGAAAAACATTAGGTACCGCTGTAAATTTGTTTTATGAAGCTTCGATTAACTGAAAATTCCGAGTCAATGCTTCTGAAAATTTGTGAACTATTAGGAATATGAGTGTACTGAACATGTTAAATACCTAATATCTTGCTGAACAATGAAAGTGATGGAAGGGTCAGATATTCTAAGAATTGCCTCTAAACCGCAACAGGTATAGATGGGGAAAAAGGTAACTATCCTTGGGAACAGTACAATAGTCAAAGAAAATTTAAAAATACTTTGGCCATTTTCGAGTCATACAGAGAATATCAGAAATGGAAAAGGAAAGCTCATTGTAGATATTCAAAATGTACTTATAACCATTTAGCAATGAATGTTTGGTGACATTCCGAGTGGTTTGTAAAAAATAAACAAATATTAATATATTTAATATTTCTTACATTTTCAACCATTTCAAATAATTATTTATTTCAATCATAGGATAAAAATATAATTTTTGTTCGGAAAAACATTACCGTTGTAAATTTGATTTTTGAAGCTTCGTTTCACTGAAAATCCCCAGTCAATGCTTCTGTAAATTTGTGAAATATTAGGAATATGAGTGTACTGAACATGTTAAATATCTTGCTTAACAATGAAAGTGATGGAAGGGTCAGATATTCTGAGAATTGCCTCGTATATAGAGAAAACATAATTTCATTATATGGTAACATTGCTAGGTATATTCTAAACCGCAACAGTTATAAATGGGGAAAAGGTAACTATCCTTGGGAACAATGCAATAGTAAAAAAAAAAATTACAAATGTACTTATGACCATTTAGCAATGAACGTTGGATTAAACGCTTCGTGTCAACATGAACACCTTTCCTTTTTTTTTTCAAATACGTACCTGTCTTTTTTATTGTAAATATTGAAAATCATAAAATTACAATACCTTTTAACTGAATAAAATTGCAGCAATCACATTTTTTGATGAAATTGTACTTAATGATAAAAAAACAAATTCGAATTAGATTTTTCTTCGATTTTTTGCATTTTCTGAGAACATTTACTGTAGTAATGTATTTTTTTACACTATCAGAAAGTGGAGATTTCAAAGAACAAAAAGCATACCGACGTTTTGAAAAAAGCTGATATATTGACGCGAGTGTTTTCGATTGGAAATTAGGTTGCTTTTTTGATATTAAGTCAAAATAAGGTGAAAAAAATTAATATTTTAAAAGGAATAAATTGCAGTGTATTTGGAACATAAAAAAGTAAGTTTTCACCGAATTTCGTAGAATATTTTTTTTAGATAAAAATTAAAAAGCATAAACGCGGTTTTTTGAATTTTTCATATAAATTTTGAGGTTGTGTGTAAAAAAGTAGTAGATCTTTTTCTTTTTATTACCTACAACTATGCCTTTTAACTTTTTTCTGTAGGAAAATAAACCATTTTTTACCCCTGAAAACTCACCCCCTCCCACTACCCGAACTCATATCGCCCGTAATTTATTTTTCTTTCATTTTTATCACATCCACCTCCTTTTCATCCTACTATTAGGTACTTTTGTTCACTTTTCGCCATTTTTGAAGGCTTCAGCCATGGTCTAGTCAGATTATGGAATTCTTAAATGTTAGGAATTTTCATCTTACTTCGATGAAAGTAACTCTTGACAAGGAACGGCCTAATTCAACATTGAGTTTGAATATCAAAAGATCAGTTAATTGGTAATTACACGTATGATCACATATTGTTTTCAGTTTCCGAATCGAAAATAATTTAGAAATCGACACAGCTGTCCTGTTCCATAAGTAACCAACATTAATACATTTTTTAGGTAACCGCTGTCAAAAATTCACATTCTCAATCATAATTGTTTCAAATGAAACGCTATAAAAAATTCGAGTGCGATATACCACTAAATTGTGATTTTATGGCTTGCGATATTTGTTATAAAAAAGGTGAAACATTTGAATACTCTGGAAAACTTGTGATTCTTAAGATCATACTTCACAGGATCATTTCTGTAGTAGATCTTCGCATACTCTCTACTCAAATGTAGAGTTGTCGCAACCATGAGGATGAGTTGAAGTTTCGTTTCTTGAGCGTGAGGCAGACTTATTGTGGAAACTTCTTTTCTACATTAGTCATCGATGATCATTCACTCTTCGGAATTATCCGTTGAGAATAGAAACGAGACATTCTGAGTGGTTGCATTTTGAGAAATCAAACAAAATTATTCAATTTACTGTTTTTAACATTTTGTAAATCAATTTACTCACAGAATATTGGAAGCGTTATGTTTCTTCTAAGGAAATCTATAACTCGATTTTGAGGATTTTGAGGAATTAACCAAATCATTCAATTTGCTGTTTTTTTTACACGTTTTATATTAGCTTCACCTGTATGTAAATAACTCTCCTTTTCATTTCATATCGGGATCGTATTTGACAGAATTATCCACATAATTGCTTGATCTATTCGCGAGAAGATGGCGGTGTACGAAACCTCCTTGGCCTGCTGCCTTCCTTGGGTTTGGTAGCTGATTCTCAGGCTCCCTCATCGGAATCGGAAAATGTCGATGGTCATTTTTCTGAACAATATACGGCTGATTGATCCCAAAGTTTAGATAAAATAAATATAGTTCGAAAAGTTTAAAAAACACGCTTTTATAGCATACGAAACTAAAAAATGAAAAATAAATATAGTTTAATAAAACTAAAGAACACGCTTTCAAAGAACATCGAACTGAAAAGTTAAAAATATTTTTTTAATAAGCTCAAACTAATAACGAACGAAAAATACTAGTATTATTGTGAAAAAAGCGTGGGCGCTTTGTGCTATATTTTTTGTATATCAAGCGCCCGTCGCTTTTTTCACAATAATACTAGTATTATTGTGTTATTAAAAAAATATTTTTAACTTTTTAGTTCGATGTTCTTTAAAATCGTGTTTTTTAGTTTTATTAAACTATATTTATTTACATTTTGTAAATCAAATTACTTACATAATGGAACTGTTATGTTTGTTCGAAGGAGCCGCTATAAATTTAACTCGAAATATAATACGTTATATTGAGTATATGGAATATTGAATACAAATGAATATAATTGGAAAATATTGAATATTTTTTTCAGGAATGCTACGAAGAGAAAAATATAATTTTTGTGTGTTTTACATGTGCCATATTGTGTTTTAATGAGTATAACGATGCCATTAGTTTGTTGATTTGAATGTTTTTTGACTACAACAATAACAAAGATACCTGTGGGTTGCGATTTAGATCAACCTGTACCTAAATGTCCATTTTTCTCACCGGGCCAGTTCTGCCCTGCAATCGGATGACCCTGGTGCCATATGACTGGACGCAATTGCCATATCTCTTAAGGAATCATTATTTCTTTCACGCATTATTCAGAATGAATAGTTAGTAAATCGAAGCTATTAAGTAATTCATTTGTAACTCATCAATTATGCATTTGCTGAAAATATCATTATCCTCCACACCTCAATTGGTCATTTGGCATGCGTAGTTAAAATTTATTGATTGTCTCAACTCTGGAACGACAACACATTTCTCTGAAATCAATGCCATTTCGTGTGTTACACATAGAAGTGGACCTCAAATTAACGAATGCAATAAACGTTAACTATTACTCAATATTTTTCATGCCCGAACTCGGTGAACGAGTATAGTTCAATCACTCTCTATTCTCAAGTGTTTCACATTACTCGCTGAACGTGGGTATCTGAAAATGCAGAGTTATCAAATTCCACAATCTTGCATAGAGCTAGTAATTACTGGTGTTGCTTTGAGAAGGAATTATGTGAAAAGTGTGTGATAGCTTAAAAAATGGATCTGTGCCTGATTTTCTTAGGGTGCGTTCTTATTTTATTGGTGGTTTATATGGTGCTGGAGTTACATTATTATGCGCGTTCATTAATCTGTTTGATAATGGCAAAACTCAAAAAGAGGGTTCATATTCTGGATGAGACTAGAATGTATGGTGAGTACTTTTTCACGAAAAATCCGAAAATATTGATAACGGTTTTGAATATTAAAAATCGAAAAAAAGGTATTTTCAATGAAGGTTGAAATAAGCCTGATTCTTTTAATTCGAAATTTGGAGAAAAAGACACAGATTCAAACCTTCATTTGACCACATCGTTTGTAGCAGGTCAATAAGTTTAAACTCCAATAAGTATGCTATATTTATAGGAGGAATATTAAAATTATTAAAAAAATAAAAACAAACTACTTTCATGAATATATTGGTCTGAGAATTAATTTTTCAAATGGGCTGTTACATTTGTTATCAAATGTTAGATACGTCATATGCCAAAGAAAATAATGAACAACTATTGAAATGTCATTATTAGGCACTTGAAAAAAATCCACTTGAACCTTTTATCTTCAGACTAATGACGAGTTGTTCAATTTTTGGTTATTGAATATAAAAATTACAACCTGCAAATGAAGTGGAATATGATCTATAAGATATTTTTAATACCAATAAAATATTGGTGAATTTATTCTCTATATATTTCCTAAATTTTTTTGCTATTCAGGTGTTTATTAAGTTACTTAGTGATTTATATCATTTCAAAAACTACACCTAAAGTTTGTGGATACCAAATCGTGAGGTGTAGTTTTGTTAAATATACGAATACTATTGGTATATTGAATTCAATATGCTGAATTCAAATTCGAATTTATTACTTGCAGAATCTAAAAATTGAGAAAAAAACGGCAAACGGTCGTTCAAAAGTTGAAAATAAAAATAAATTGAATTCATGAAACTTTTTATCGAATCAAAACTGTTTTGTTCCACTTCTTTTTTTTTGCTTTGATAGTTTTTGTCTTTAGTTGTCATCGTTCAACTGATTCTTTTTTTTTTCTAATAATTAGTGTTCTGGTTGCAACTGAGGAAAGTTGTTTTTGACTTGGTTTGGAAGTAAAAAGAAATTAAGGAAAGACCCAGCAATTGGTTGATGGGTTGCCAGTAAAACTTTATCTCTTCAAGAATAGGTCTTAGCAGCCGTGCTGAGCTAATGTGAGTTATTGATGTAAATTCATGACTGTAGTATCTGATAACTCAATGTTTTCTTTGGTGAAAATTTTGGTATTTAGAGGAACATTCCTAGCAGCTTCGACATTCAAAATAAGTTGCAGTTGCAGCTGTTGCGTAACCTTTGAAAAATAGACATGTCGCTTTTTAATTTATATAGTTTTGCAAGGATTTTCCGTCAGGTACCTATTCATCTGGCTCAGAAAATCAAAGCGAGGGACTCATTCAAAGTGTCGTACGCTGAGGAAATTTTTTCTAGTCTAAACAACGTGAATGCCTTAGAACTTTCAAATTCTGAAGAATTCACACGTTCACGTGTTAGGAATCACACGTTGAAAGGAAAGACCTCGTTAGTCCTTAGCTCGCACAAGTTCACAACTTCTGAGAGTTGTCGTTCGTATGGGAGCGACAGCTGATTAACGGAAAAACAGTTTTTTTTTTAAACAGAACTTGAAGGGGCTGTAATCTGAAGTACCTGCATACATGAACGGCCAGAAAATTTTTGTGGGTTGTAGCCCAGTCAACTTGGTTGTCAAGCTGATTGTATCTTTATGTTGTTTCTGCGAGGATAATCATTACAGAAATGAAAGTTTTAAAACATGGTATTGCGCCTATTTGTGGAAGGACCAGTAGGTAAATGCCAAAATGGGCGTTTATGGAAGTATCATATCAATAAAATACATGTCAGATTTGATTGTGAGCAGTTAAGAGTCTACACATGTCTGAATAACCTATTGCATAGCGAAACACGTGTTTTTGTAAATCAAAGTTTTTCTTGAATACAGCAAAGTACAGGTTGTCGCAATGAATTATATCAATAAAGTTCACTTGGTTCATTTGTGAAGATGATTTTAATTTGAGTTAAATTGTAGATAATAATTCTTTAACAATTGAACATATTTTTTCCTCAGTACTTGCAGGAAATACAGCATAATTCAGTTGACAGTTTTCTACTCTTTTTACTGAATATGATAAGGCGATCTTCATTAATTAATCCAGGAGCTATCCCCAGTCACAACACTACCTGTAACCTAGTTTGGTTATGGCTGAAGAAGACAGTATACGTATACAGCCTTTCATTTTTCTGATACAGAGATCATTTCTTCTCCATCTCTATGCACTCTGGACTATATATTTCTGAAGATTTTTTCACTTGGAGAAGGGCTTCCGTATGGAACGAACTTTCATACGGTAGTGTAGCAGCTGCGGTCTTTTGTGATCTTTCTAAGGCGTTTGATTGCGTTGATCATAAGATCTTGCTAAGAAAAATTCACCAATACGGCTGCAGAGAAATGATTCTAAAATGGTTTGAATCTTACCTTTCAGGAAGGAATGAAATGGTAAGAACAACAAGACTTTCAGAAAAAAAAGGGGAAATTTTGTGTGGTGTTCCACAAGGATCAGTTTTGGGACCCATCTTATTATTGTTATATGTCAATGACATTGCAAATTTGAGCATTTCTAAAAATTTCACTATTTTCGCTGATGACACGACGATATTGTGGAACAACAAAAACTCAAATGATTTACACAATGAAATATCTACTGATATGAAAATAATCAAGGAGTGGTGTGATGCTAATTTGCTATCCTTCAATATCACTAAAACAAACATTTTATCATTTAGATGTGCCCTTGATGAACTGTCATTCGGTGATAACTTGGTGATCAGGAACGAGACTCAATCTAAATTTCTAGGTATTCACATTGACAACAAGCTCAAATTTATTGAGCATATCAAACAACTTATGGATGTTATGCAGTGAGAGTAACTTCAATAAATTTGGGAATCAAAACTGCCAGAACGGTGTATTACGCCCTCGTTGAATCCCACCAACGTTATGGAATACCGTTTTGGGGAGTCTGCAATTCATTAGCACTTCTGTCTGTATTAGTACTGCAGAAACGGGCTAGCAGGTATATGTGTAAAATCAAACCTCGTGATTCATGCAGACACTAATTCGCTGAACAAAAGATTTTAACAGTGATTGCTTTGTACATTTTCGAAACGGTTTGCCTCATTTACAAAAATATGTCCCTATTTGAGGCTTCATGCCTCAATTTCGATATTGAACTATAGTGTATGTTCTAATTTTGCTTTTTTGTAGGTGTTTTTATATTCACATTTTATATTTCTATATTTACATTTGTATGTACTTTTCACAAGCTTTGTCCCCAAGATTTATTCTTAATGACAATAAAGTATATTATTATTATTATTATACACTCAATCCACTGAGCGAAAAAATGATATCATTGATTTGTACACAAATCAACAAGTTGTAATGAAAGAAGTTTCATTACAACTTGTTCAATGAAATTTCATTACAATTTGTTCATTAAATAAAAAGATGTGACATGAGATTATCAGATTTTATCCCACTTGACTACATATATTTGAAGTTATTTACAAAATGAAGCCATTTGTGGCACACAATTTAGAAGATCTATGAATTCGAAAATGGCAAATGGCTACCTCTACTTCATATGCTTTAGAGGCAAACATTTGATTCATCATCGATTACCTCTTTGATACGAAACCTTTTTCTGAACATACATTCCACCAGTGAACTATTGAGGGTTTTATCATGTGCTTTCTTCTTCAGGAATTTGCCTTTCCACTGACGTTGACAACCTGTTGGACCACATGAACAATGCCAGATTTATAAGGGAGCTCGATTTTGCAAAAATCGATTTTAATGTGAGGACTGGACTTTATGGAAAAATAAGGCAGCATGGGGGGTCTGTTTTGTTAGCTGCAACTACTGTGAGATACAGGAGACTCATCAAAATCTTCCGACGATATTATATAACCACCAAAGTGAGTATACATATACTGTTAAAAATCTTTTTCAGTTGTAATATTTGTTTCCTTTTTCCTGTTGGTTCTTGTATAGTGAAACCCAGTTTGATGAAACTATCAAGTTAATTTGCCACTTCATTAATCACAAAACTCCATACTATAGAACACAACATTCAAACACAAAACTGAACTAGACTCTTACCTTTCGCCCATTCCAAGACCTGCACTTCGACAATTAACAACTTCAAACTTCTTCATGTGTGAACGAATAGCTTTTTTATGTTGACGAATCAATTCCCAGTTTTCTGAAGAAAAATCTCCAAAAGGTGGTAGTATAGATATTTTTTTGAAACAATCCAAAATCCAGGGCGCATATGATAGATTTATTTATTTATAAAGAAACTGTGGACAAAAATCTATCGTTTGGAAATTTCAGGATAGTCCATTTTTACCAATCTTTTGATTTCCGGTCCAAATTACCATAGACTCTCGGGGAGTCTTTGAGCCCCCACCTTCAACTGAATTTGGTAGACTTACAACCATACCTGTTCTTCATAACTGAGACTACTGCTTCAAAACTTTGGTTCTACTAATCGGACTATTCTTCAGAACATTACCGTCATTTATTTATCCACCCATTTTTCGAAGTGGCGATTTATCGGTCACAATGATTTGCCTTCAAAATTTGTAAGTTTCTGGACTAAACTTTTCCGTGGTGAACTTCATCGTCGTCAGCGATTCTACTAGATATCTTTGCAGCCCTCAAGGTACCCCTTCAAATGTTTTTTAAATCTCCTCGAAATTCATTTGTAGGAAGATCCAGCATTCCCAATTTTTCAAGTTTCCTGGATCAATTCATGTATTCTTCTTTCAATCGATACAGAAAATTTCGGCCAAAAAAAACTGTTCAATTCAAGAAGACAAGAGCTTGAGTACGTTAAAATAAAAGCCAGAGTAAAAAAGAGTCATGGCAACGATAGGTTCAAAGTATTAATAGTACAAATATAGAAACAGTACGGAGCATTTCAGGGGCCGAAACGCATCACTCAATAAAGACTTTGAAAAACAACAGAAATATCATCATATCGAGCGAATAAATAGCGGAACACCTTAATTTTTCTTAGTACATTGTGTAGCAATCCTATGAATAACATCTGATTCAAATCCATAACGAATGTTTGGAAAACAAACTGAATACAGAAAAGTGTTTTTTGTATAATTGAATATTCATATAAAAGTATTTGTTTTGAAAGTATTTTTCTTTAGTGTAATTCAATACTTAAATGAAAGTAGCTAGAGGGCTTTTTTCCAGTTTGTGTCTTAAAGTTACTTCTTTGCATGATCTATACATCTGTGTATGCAGTTAATTTTTTTGAAATTGAAGTCTCCCACATTTTTTGTATGAAGATGGAGACATAGAGAACCAAAACCTTTTCATTAAAAAAAAAAATCTCTCCTAAAATTATAACAGAATATTTTAGATTGGGAGAGAAAAGTTTCAGCTTTCTACTTCTCCATCTTCATACAGAAAAACGAGGAAGCAGTATCCCTTATTGGAAGTTATGAAGATGAAATACAAGTAGCTCAAACACAATGAGGAAACTGAATGAAAATCTTGGAGAACTTGAATACTCCAACTCCAGTCCAGACGATGTACCTTCTGCATATCTGATAGACATACTGGATGAGGCAAAAGTGATTCTTTTTTAGATGTTGATTTGAACCCAAAATAAAACCCCGCCATTCCCACGAAAAAATAAATCAAAAACCTTGTAGACCAAATTCACTTACATACACCTTGTATAGATTAGAAAAATCGTTCATAAAAGACCTAAAGAAATAACCATAACGAAGCGAATAACCAACATAGCGGTTTTAAAGGATAGGTCTTTATCCTCTTTAAATATTATAGTGGATCTGCAAACAGAAACTCAAGTCATTTGCGAGCAAATGGAAAAAAAGTGGAATCAGTACAATGTTGTTTCCTAAAACTTCTCTCCTATAGATCAGACAATATCTATCCACCAATTGGATTTCCCCATGATGTATTGTTAACTAGACATGCTATGAATAGACCGATTTGCCGTCGAGATTGTCATTCCACAATTTTTCTTTTTGAACTAATTAATAATTCAATTATTGACCCACATATTCTGCAAAAACTTAATTTCACTGTTCCTAGACCAACCTCTGGAGTGGTTAATCCTTTTTATCTGCTAACATCACATACAAATATTCTGAAATGTTTACCTCTGCATAACATGTGTGTCAAATGCAATTCTGCAAGTTGTCAGCTCGACATTTTTTACTGTTCCATCTTTGAGGTTAGGTCTTTTAACTTCAGCTAATTCTATATGTATTGTTTTTATCTTATAACTTATTCCAATTGTATTGTATTGTGATTTGACTTATTTCCCTGTTCTGTAGTTGGGTATAAACTGTAGAACGTGTATAAATAAGTAAATAAATGAATAAATAAATAAATAAATGAATGAATAAATAAATAAAAAGTGGATAACTCACCAAAAAATATTAGTATCAATTTTGAAAAACATTGAAAAATGTTAAACTCAATATTTCGATTGAAAAATACAGAATATCAAGAAACTAAAATATCAGTTTTCAACAAATTTCGTGAAAAACAAATGTTTTTTTTTGTAAAAGAGAAAATGAAAATGAAAACACTGATTTTTCCAATTTTCCTCAGAAAATTTCAGGTGATGTGGCAAAGTGATTCATACAAAAATTATACGATCTTTACATTCCATAGATACTTAATATTCAACTTTTTAGAGTAGGAGCTTTAGTTTCAGTGAAAATAGTGATTTTTATGATGTTACTGATTTTTTCTCTTTTTTATATTTCAAACAGGCTTCTGCACTGGTCTGATAATTATAATGCGCTAGTAAACTCATTAATGATTTATGATTACTCAAATTCATTACGGAATGTGAATTAATTATGTTAGTCCGTTGCTGGCGTAAAAAATTCCATAACATCAATAAAAATTACACCACAATATAACTATCAAGTGGTTTGATGATCTGCAGAAACCTGTTCTACGATTGAATGTAAACTTATTTCTCAATATTTTTCTCTTCGCGTTTATAGTCCACACTCGTGAAAGTTACGACAAGGACTTTTCATTGGAATTTCCTTCTTGAGCCATTTTTATAATTCAAAGAAGAGTTTGAGAGGCTTCCGAAAGGTATGTAGAAGTGAGTTATTCATTCATGGCAAAATCGGTACAATAATTCGTATTCATGTTTCAAAGGAATATAAAATATAGTATACAGATAACATGTCAATTTCAATCGAAAACTTATACATATTTTCAGTTCAAAAAATAATTCATTCCGGAATACGTGGACTGTTAAAAATAAGGTGAAAATAAGGAGGTTACGTACAGCGCCATCTGCCCGCGAATGGATCAAGCAATAATGTCGATAATTCTGGAGTTACAAACAAACTGACAAACAAACATACATACATACAAGTGAACCTAATAAAAACGTGTTGAAAAATGGAATTGTGTGCTCAAAAATACTTGAAATGTTGACAGTGTCATACGGTGATTGTACTCTGAGTCAGAAAAATGGTACAAGCTTTTCACAGAATGTTGAGAATATGGGAATGACGACGCTCGCCCTGGACGCTCCAGCACATCAACAGTCGATGGAAATGTTGAGAAATTTCAGAAAATTGATATGGACAATCGTCAAATCACTATTAGGGAAGTTGCTGAGGATATCAGCAAATCGGTTGACTCATATCATGCAATTTTTTGAAAATTTTGGGCATGAAACGTGTGGCAGCAAAATTGCTGAGCATTGGACATAAATTGTTGGCGACCTAGATTTGCTCAAAAGATTTATGTAACGAGTCATGGGTATATGGTTATAACATCGAAACCAAAGTTCAATCGTCGCAATGAAAGAACCCAGGAGAGCCAATACCAAAAAAGCATGCCAAGTTCTATCAAGTGTCAAGTTTTACTCACTGTTTTCTTCGATTACCGTGGCAAAGTGCATCAGAAGTTGTTGCCACTCAAATTCCGGTATTGTGGAAAAACAATTCTTGAAGTTCGCATCACGATAATGCACCTGCTCACTCGTCATTGCTTGTTCGTGATTTTTTGTCCAAAAACAACACTGTTATCATGCCTCAGCCACCGTATTTACCAGATTTCATCCCCTGTGACTTTTCCTGTTCCTAATATTGAAGAGACCCATGAAAGGACGGCGTTTTGCCGATTGAGGAGATGAAAACTGAAATATGTATTTCTTTAGGGGGAGTACTCTGGAGACAAAATAAAAATTAGGAATATATGAATATTTTTTGAGAAAAATCAAAATTCACCATATTTTTGAACATACAGCGTACATGCAAATAATTCGTTCGTAGCTGAGACGCAGATACCACTGATGATGTCTGCCGCAGTAGCAGATGAAACGTCTGATACTCTGGGTTCCATTCGACCACGGCCTACTAGCATGCTTTTATTCTCTGCTGAACATGAAACAGTTTTCCTGATTTTTTTCAGAATATAACCAGCTACGTAATTTGTGGCCAATTCATGTAACTTATGTGACAAAGATTGTTCAGATTCAGCTAATTTTGTACATTCTGCAATATCAGATTCACTGATGGCTTTTTTGCTGTTATCTTGATTTACAAAAAGTTTCTTGATTGAAATAAACATACTTTTACATTTGTCATCTTCACAATTAAAAGAATTTTTGAATAAAGACAGAGCAGTGTTAAACAGCAGTATTTTAAAATTTCCTACAAGTTGGTGAGCAGAGGGATTGACATTTTGAGCTCCAAAGCTCCTTAATTGATCAAAGGCATTTTTCAGGGGATCCTGATTCAACCTTCTTGTCAATAAGTAAAAAAAATCTTCTGATTTCAAAACACCCCAAATTGATTTCATGTTCTTTGAAGTGAAAGACCAGCTTTTCAAACTTGAAGGTCTTGATTGATCTCTGGGTGTCCTCTTTTGAAACTGCATCGTGTCC